ATAGGTAATTCGTCTCGAGTTATTTTTAACACCACAGATCTCAAGGGGGATTAGACAACAGCCAATCACATAGCGCGAATGTGTTCCGTGTGGATGACCCACGCTGAGAGCCACGCGTCCTTCACGAAATGACGCAGAACAAAATGGGGGAAGACGCGGAGAGCGATTTTGCTATTCCTTTTGTCGACGAAAACGACTACAGCGAGATTTCTGCGAAAGCTGTGTCAGCGAAACCGAAATTAAAAAAGAATCGCCCTTCCTCTCTTGTCTCCGAGAGCTAACAGTAGAGCAGGGAAATCCTTAACACACTGAATATTCTCTCAGGATCATTTATAATTTACAGTTTGAAGAGATCAATTTCTGGTTTGATGTTTATTTTTTTCAGTCTTTGTAGCGATTATTCCTACCCACTTACTTTGTCAATTGTAGGCGAACCCTCCTAAAGCTGAATTTCAAGGGACCATATTCAAGCTCAGAAAGAGAAATAAAATTTCGTCGTTGCTTGTTTACGTCCTCTATAAAACGCGAAATTAGGCATTTTCACGTCGTAGTCGTGCAAAAACGGGAAAGAAATGAACAAAAAAGTGTGTTGCACGTGCGAAGTTGTTGTTTTGCTAATTAAACCTATTGTTTTTTTGACGTTCTAGTTGTCGTCCGCGTCGTTGGATCTTAAACTCCCTAAATTGTACGAACGACCGGTTTCAATAGACCGGCGAAATTTCTCATTTTATTAAAGCACTGAGGTTACGACAACTTCGAGTTAAACTGATTTCACGGGTTGTCAGAGAGTTCAGCGATTCCTTTTTCCCAGGTGAGCGCCGACTCATTTCGCATCAATATTCAGGAATACTCTCGATCTTTTTACGCTTTCATTGCATCTCGCCCCACGTGTTTTGCACGGCGTTTGGTCATGCGAAACCTCCACGAAACATCCACGCCTCGCGCGAGGTAACTTTATCCCGATTCTAAAAATAACTCGAGACGAATTACCTATGGAATAGGGTGTATATGGGGGATGCCCTCTCCGTCCCCTTTACAGTCTCTTGCTACTTGACAATGCCTAAACTACAAGAAATCTTCACAACAGTTGCCATCGTGTGTCTTCGCTACGAGAGACTCGCTGTTTTGCAAAATGTTTTCGCTATTATTCTTCTTTGAGCAAGAAGAGACGGTGAAAAACTTTTCGAAGAAACTGTACACAAGTAAGATAAAGAAGAAGCTAAGATGAAAAGTTGGGTTTGGGACTTAAAAAATGCCTAAACTAGCACAAATCCTCAAAAGGTCAAGCGGTTCGAGGCAGGTATGTGTATCGGTCTTTTTCTTTTCTGATCATCGTATAAAACAAATAGATTCCATGTGGCCGTGGGTCTGTTCAGTAATAGATCACAGAGGACGTCAAAATGTGGTAAAAACAAAAGTGACACACTCGCCTGCGGCTCGTGTGCCACTTCTTTGTTTTTACGACATTTTGACGTCATCTGTGATCTATTACTGAACAGACGCACGGCAACATGGAATCTATTTGTTAAACTGAGATCTCTTGTAGTATCTCAAATTGTTTACCTCCTATCATATCATCTTTACCATCACCTCCAGGTGTTATCAAGGAGATTAATCGTCTTTTATATGATTTCCTCTGGGACAGCAAGGGTGGTAAAATCAAAAGAACAGAAATGATAAATGAATATAACAAAGGAGGGCTAAAAATGATCGACCTTCAAAGCTTTAATGAATCGTTAAAAATTAAATGGATAAAAGGCTATCTCAATAATAAGGGAAAGTGGAAATCCTTTGTTAATCACTACGTACCTTGCGAAAAACGGTGGTAAATTGGTTTTTTTTAGCTAATTTAAAACTTCAAGATACCCCTGTACTCAATATTTCAGACCCTTTCTTAGCCGAAACTGTAGAATACTGGAGTACCTTAAATTATAGTGAAGACAACTTAAATTTCTCCTCCTCCCAGATTTGGCTAAATTCGCTCATAAGAATTGATAATAAGCCTTTCTTTTATAAGTCATGGTTTCATGCAGGCGTGAAAGATGTTTAAGGTGGCTCGACTGGATTTTTTGGGGATGATACCTCCCAACTTTGAGCATTAACTACCTCGGCATGAGTAAAGATATGGAAAAAAGGTTACCACAACTGTATTATATAAAGATGAAAATTTCTTATGATCTGGGTTTTATTGCAATCGGAGTCGCCATGGCAACGTAATGACGCCATTACGTTTTTCATTTATCTTTGTGTTTCTCTGTTCCAGGAGTTTTTTCAAGAAATCGCTTAAGGGAGTATGTACCTGCTATAATTGTCTCCATTATGGCGTAGTTTGAACAAATTCTATGAGAGCGTTTTCGAAATATTTTGAAATGTAGTTTTAAGAATGATAAAAACAGTGAAATAGCATGTTAGCCACACAATTCGCTAATATTTTAAGAAAATGATAAGCTTTGGGAACGAGGCTTCATCTCATAGTGGTTTGACTCCATTGGAAACTGCATCCAAAAAGAGAGGGCAATTGCTCTGGGCGATCGCGAGTAAGAAGAATTTTATTAACTTGCATTCAGCTGTTTTTGATACACTTTTTGGACGTAATTTGGTCCATGCCTAAGAATTTCGCATTGTTCCAAAAACCGCTCGATGAATTTTTTTATAAATTCGACAATCCCGAGATCAATCGTCAAGAAATATTCCCTGCAAGTTTCAAGAACATTGAAAACATGGAAGGCTTTTAAATAGGGCCTCAAATATAACCAATTTCCCCCCCAGATTTTGTGTTTACAAGTGAGCGTCCTCATTATTCACTGGCATTGTTTTCAAGTTTCATATGCACGTGCACAACTAGCAAAAGATATAAATTTGCATCAAAAAGAAATCTCGATTACTTTCCGAAGAAATATCAGGAATATGCTAATAGTTGGCTTGTCGTCACAGATAGCAGTGAGAGCCGAAACGGTGAACGTCACGGCTCATCGCGTAGGATGGAATACTTAATTATCTTACTCGGGTTATAACATCACAGAAACTATCACAAAGAGTTGCTCTGATGTTATAATGTATCATTAATCTCTTTACCCGGTAATTAGCATATCCCGAAGATTTAACCGAGGGTCCTTTTTGATGCAAATTCTATCTTTTTGCTAAATGTGCACGTGTATATGAAACTTGAAAACAATGCCAGTGAATAATGAGGACGCTCACTTGTAAACAAAAAATCTAGGGGGAAAATTGGTTATATTTGAGGCCCTATTTAAAAGCCTTCCATGTTTTCAATGTTCTTAAAACTTGCAGGGAATATTTCTTGACAATTGATCTCGGGATTGTCGAATTTATAAAAAAATTTATCGAGCAGTTTTTGGAAAAATGCGAAACTTTTAGGGATGGACCAAATTACGTCCAAAAACTGTATCAAAAGCAGCTAAATGCAAGTTAATAAAATTCTTCTTACTCGCGATCGCCCAGAGTAATTCCCCTCTTTTTTCGCATGCAGTTTTCAATGGAGTCAAACCACTATGAGATGAAGCCTCGTTCCCAAAGCTTATCATTTTCTTAAAATATTAGCGAATTGTGTAGGTAGCATGCTATTTCACTGTTTTTATCATTCTTAAAACTACATTTCAAAATATTTCGAAAACGCTCTCATAGAATTTGTTCAAACTTTACCATAATGGAGGCAATTATAGCAGGTACATACTCCCTTAAGCGATTTCTTGAAAAAACTCCTGGTACAGAGAAACACAAAGATAAATGAAAAACGTAATGGCATCATTACGTTGCCATGGCGACTCCGATTGCAATAAAACCCAGATCATAAGAAATTTTCATCTTTATATAATACAGTTGTGGTAACCTTTTTTCCATATCTTTACTCATGCCGTCGTAGTTAAGGCTCAAAGTTGGAAGGTATCATCCCCAAAAAATCCAGTCGAGCCACCTTAAGGATTGGCTTGACGATTCAAATTATAATTTCCTAAGCTACACTGCTTTCATTACCAAGACGAACTATCTAGAGTACTATAAAGTAGTGTCTGCCCTTAAACATAATATTTTCAGGAAAAAATGTTCCAACAATCAAAACTTCACTACCTTGGAAAAAGTCACCGACAACGTGTTCTCTTCTGAGAAAGTTTGCAAAACGTTTTATCAGATTTTGATCAAAAGAAAGACTTCCTCACCGGTGAAAAGCCAGGGAAAGTGGCTTGCTGAAGATCTTTTTTCAAATGTAAAGGTGAACTGGGAAAATACCTATCAGCTACCTTTTCTATGTACTACAGAAACGAAGTTAAGGGTATTTCAATTCAAATTTCTGCATAGAAGAGTAGCTACAAATGACTTCCTTCTTAAGATAGGAAAAAAGGAAACAGACTCCTGTTCTTTTTGCGCTAGTTCCCCAGAGACACTTACGCATCTTTTTTGGCACTGTAGATCAGGGATAATGTTTCGCAGTGGACCTCCGAAGCGCTTGACTTGACCAACTTGAACATCACCCCCTTTTCGTCAGCTCTTTGTCTCGGCTTAATTGACAACATATCCAATCTTCTCCTACACCACTTCCTCCTCATTGCTAGACATTATATATATAGTTGCAAACTACGAAATACTATTCCTATGGTACGAGTGTACACTCAGTTAGTCATACACTCCATGGAAATTGAGAAACAGATTGCGTTTGATAATAATAACTTAGCCTCTTTTAGGAAGAAATGGGCGACTTTTAAACAATGCCCCTCAGAATATAATTTGACCAATACAGTTAATTAAAGTGCAAGTGACAAACGGGCAGATGGGTGATGGAGGACCATAAGGCAGCAGCCTCCTCTTAATAGGGACTTTAAGAACTGACAACGCGGTGGTCTGGAAAACGCGAGGACCGAGAGTGGGGCTGGGGCGAGCACCGCGTACTAAGCGCGGGAAATATGTAGTTAAGATCAAGAACGCGATCATTTAGACTAGTCATCGTCTGCAAAACAGTAAAACGCTTTTCACCTTTCCCTACTAGAATGACTCAAAACTCATTTAAGACTTTACAGGAAGCTTTGCTCCTTAGTCTGGAAGAAAAGCTAATAGATGACGAAGAATTTGCCGTGCTGTATGAAGAATTCACTCCACAAAACCTTCCGTTTCGCCACTGGGATTACGAAAAATTTTCCCTCGAAAACAAAGACCCAGCAGAGTGTAAGGCAGACTTCAGATTTGAAAAGAGTGACATCTCATCGCTGGTGGATGTTTTACAGATGCCTGATACCTTCACATGTCCGAATGGTACCGTTTGTGATTCAACAGAAGGACTTTGTGTTATACTAAAGCGCTTTAGCTATCCATGTAGGTTGTCTGATATGATTTCTACTTTTGGTCGATCAGTACCCGAGCTCAGCATGATTAGCAATGAAGTCACTGAATGGATGTACAATGTTCATGGCCATAGGATTACCGAATGGAATCATTTCATTATGGCTCCTAACCTACTGCAAACGTACTCTGAAGCAATTCATGACAAAGGTGCCGCCTTGGAAAACTGTTTCGGCTTTGTTGATGGAACGGTTCGTCCCATATCAAAACCAGCAGTCAATCAGAGAGCTGTTTACAATGGCCATAAGCGCGTTCACGCCCTTAAATTTCAATCCTTGGCCCTACCAAATTGATTGATTGGCCATCTGTTTGGACCAGTAGGTAAGGGTATATTCATTAATTTTTTTATGGTGGGATAGTACCGTAGCTGTTTTTACTTGGAGAGACATTTTTATCACTTATGTGAACTTAAAAGTTAGATTGATTTTTTTCCTCATAATGTTAATCTGACGTTTCTTGATGACTCCCTCCTGGTCTCTCAAATCAAAGGTATTTTCAGTAGCTCCCACTTTCAATTGTTATTAGAGGAAATGGTTGTCCTGTCACCACAGACAAATAAATTATAAATAATTTTCTGACTTATAGGCCATAAGTACCTGGACTGTAAGAATAATAGCCAGCGAATCCTATTTTTTGCCTACTCAATTACTAAGGTAATCATTGGTCTGTATAGGTAACAGTTTGTCAGCCAGCCAATGTGTGACTGATTGTGGTTCAAAATTAATTTTTTTGGCTCTTGTTCAGAGGGACGAATGCATGATGCGAGAATGCTGGACACATCTGGCCTCTATGTTGACCTGGCACAGTTCGCCTTTTCCCCTGCTGGACAGGAGATGTGTATCTACGGGGATCCGGCATATCCTCTACGTACCCATCTGCAGTGCCCCCTCAGAAATGGGGTGTTAACAAGACAAATGGAAGAGTTTAATGCATCTATGAGTTCTGTACGTACAAGTGTGGAATGGTTGTTTGGAGACCTTATAAATTATTTCAAGTTTCTCGATTACAAAAAGAATCTCAAAATTGGCCTTAGCCATGTAGGAAAAATGTACATTGTTTGTGCACTTTTGCGGAATGCTTTAACATGTCTCTACCGCAATACGACTGCTGACTACTTTGGCCTTGACCCACCATCACTAGTCGATTACTTTAGCTAAAATACTGTAAAAAAAAAACACCTGTCAATGCCTAAGTTTACATAAAATCTTGCATAAAATCCTGATGGAACAGTTGTTGTGTGTTTTTTGCAGGGATTGTAACAACAAGCAGATCTAAGCAAAGGGGTGGCAAATAATACTCTGAGTTCAACATTTTGTAAAAATGTAAATCTTAAACGTATAAACATCTAGAAATAGAAATTTAACATCTACTTGTTAAGCATTTTACTCATGACGCCCATGACCTGCTGCATCATGAGCATTTGTTGCTGCTGGAACTGTTGCTGTTGTTGCTGTTGATTTTGCAGTTGTTGCTGGTGCATTAGCTTCAGCATATCAGCCTGTTGTTGTTGGACTTTAAGTTGTTGTTCCTGTCTTCCCTTTTCCAGCTCAAGTTCCTTTTCTCTAATTTCTGCACTCTGCTGTGCTCTTTCCTTTAGAAACTCCATGGCATCTCCAGTTTTTCTTCTTGTTCGTTTTGGTTTGTCCTCACCCTCTTCGGCTTCCTCTGACGCCCTTTTTTTGGTTTGGGAAAGCCTTTCCATAGCTTTCATTCTTACATCCTCTGCTTTAGCTTTGTCAGCTTTATCCTTACTACATGTATCTGTGGGAGCACTCTCTTCAAGTGCAATAATTTGCTGTATTAGCTCATCTAGTTCACTTGGCTCATCTGGGGATATTCCTGACGCTCTTTCTTCAGCTCTAATTTTTTTCTTGTACTTGTTTACCAAGACATTGATGTGGTCCCGGATGGCTCTGTGGTCAACATTAAATTGCGGAGAAGCACATTTGTTTAGAACATCTACAATTTTCTTCCAAGTTTCACTGCGCTGGGGAGACCCCTTTTTGTATAAGTAGGGATTTTCAAACACTACTTCTCTGCACAGTATAATATTGTGCTGTTCAGTCCAGTACATAACATTGCTGTGTGAAAACAAAAACAAAGAGAATATTAGAATAAAATTCACTCCAAAAAAACCCTTTCTTTTGAATTGAAACTAAATGCTGTTGTCAATCTCACAGCTAATTTTATGCTTGTTCAAAAAAGTGAGATTTTTTCTTTAATGACGTTTAAAGCTCACAAATTTAAAAAGCGGCATTGCTGAGGGAAAGAGACCTCACCCATAACTTACACTTTTAGGAATAACAGCAGTGGAATAATGCATTCAAAGCCTAACGTTGATAATTTAAAAGATTCACATTATCAAAACTTCAAATGAGATAGGCAACATCATCTAACTTCAAATACAATCTCTCTTTAGTTCTAATTTTTCTTGGTTTGTTTTCGCTTCAGAGTATTATCTAAAACATGGCTCATTAGTAACAATTTCAAAGAAATAAATAAATGGACATAACACAATAGCAGAAATGTCAAAGTCTTAGCTTTCGAAATGCTACGCTTTATGACAGTAGTCAAGGTAATGAACTAATTAAACTTATGTTTCCTCTTATAGTGGGCGATTTTTGAAAGTTAGCTTTAGTAAGCTTTCTTTAGTTGAGTTTTAATCACACTCAATATCAGGAAACGCAATTTCAGATCATCATGAAATATCAAGCCTGGATCTAGTACAGACTCAACTAGAAAAACGGAATAGTCTTAGCTAAATTATTTATGAAGCTAAAATCGGTCATCAATTGATGGAACAACCGATAAAGTTTTATTCTGATATTTCACATCGGAGCTCGTTGGATTAATCAAAAACAGAAAGAAGACCAAGTAGAATGCTAGGACGCCTGACAACTAAATTGTATCAAGCATGAGAATAGCCGCATGAATGTAGTGATAATTTCCCTCAACTGTGAAGGAAAATGAGATTTTGGGAAACATTTCAAGGATAATTAGATGACTTACTTTGAAGATCTGCTCGACGCCATGTGCTTGCTCACCTGGAGGGAACAAAACGTTTTAAACTATTCAACTTTGGTCCTTTTCGTTTCAAAAATGATGCCTAACCTTTGAAGAGGCAATACATTTTAAATTCCAATTGACAGAATAGTTGTGATAGACTGGTAATTATAGTGACTTGCTTTAAGTAACAAGGCTAAATACTCACGTTTTCCAGACGACGCCAAATCTCTTCAGGCCGCGTTCTCGAGAGCGGGAGAAAACGCCAAGCGCATGCGCTCTTCATCCGAAACTGGAAAAGTCACTTCCGGTCGCGTCTCCTACTCACCGCGTCCTGGGTTCTTAAAGTCCCTAATTGTTAATATATAAACTATAGTATTTTTGTGGACTTTGTCTTTCTTTTTCTTTTTAGTTCTTTTTTGTAAACGATAACAGTTACCTGTAATGAATTGTAAATGTAATGTATTGTAATTGTTTGTGTGTGCGACATAAATAAATAAATAAATAAATAAATAATAATAAAAAAGGTATATTAGAGAGCTTTAGATTCGAGGACGAGAACGACTACGAGTACGAGATTTGACTTTTAAGCTTTTCGCGTATTCTCAAAAAAAAGTCATGGATAGTAAAAGCCGTTCAAAAAAAAATGTTCTTCTCTGAGCCGCTCGGGTATGTTCTTAGCACGTCCTTAATATTTTGTCCAATTTCAAAGGTTCTTAATACTTTTAAAAACGACAACCCCCTAAAACCCACGTTTTTTCCTGCCACTTTTTTGTGAAATGAGCGAAAGCGTTCCCTGGGTACCCCTGCGAATCTGGTTTTGTATGGGTTGATTTTTCCCCTGTCCATCCCTGCCGAAGGCCGGGATTTTGAATGTGCGGCCTGGCTACTAAGGCAAGGCCAACAACCATCAGTGGTGCACCACGAGAAGGAGCGGTTCCACGGAAGCCCTAAGTTCAAATGTTTAGCTGCATTTCTCGTCCTCTTGAGGTAATGGCTGGATGTTTGAAATTAAATTGACATTTTCAAGGAAGGAAAATCTTCGGTCTATGCTCAAGGCGAGCTCTAGCGGACTAGCGGATTCGAAAGTGACTGGAGCAATTTTTGTTCCGAGAGTCCTTTTCGTCAACGCTAGACGTTACCATGGTCCATTGCGCGATACTCATTGATCGTTCGCAATCGTTATTCATCCTCTGTGAAATATTGTTAACTGTTGGTGAATCATGACCGATTCTCCTCGTGCAAACGCGGGCAACTGCAAGCTGTTCAAAGCCGTCAGCCAGAGACTTCGCGACGGTTTTGCGAGACTCTTATACATTAGTCTATCGCTTTTCGGCCATATGTTCTTCAAATGCGATGAAATGAGCTAAACTACAGCTTTTACTGTCTTATTTTCCTCGACTAGCTTCAAATAGCGTCTACCGATATTTAAGGCTATATTTACACCGTACCGTATAGCGTTTCCGCCGGTACGAAAACCATACCGGATATGGCTTCTGTTCACACATAAGAACCGTGATTACGGAGCGATTTCTGTAACGGAGCGAAGCTGCACCGCGCTGATCTCTAAGGTGGAGAGTCACATATTGGATTGGTGTTCATACTCCTCTTCCTGATAGTTTTTCGTGTTGGCACAAAAGCCAACTGGTAATAAAGTGTGAACGTAGCCTAAGATGTCTTTATGTAAGACGACGACAACAAGAAAGCAATAGCTACCAGAAAAAACAACAACAACAAGAGCTTTGCACATGCGCATGCTTTTTCAGCTGTACATTTCTTTGCAGCTCCTGCACGACTACGAGGTGAAATTTTCTTATTCACGTACTATCGACGACCCTGGTGAATATACGACGACTAATTTCTCTCAATTCAATTCCAGGAGAGTTAGCCTACATTATTTAAGGTTATGATAAATACCCGCAGTTTCAAAGACGCGAAGTTGACGGCTACGGCGTATTCGCCGCTATAGCAACGTTACTCGACTTGTCTCTGAATGCATGTTACCACAGTTTATCAGGGGAAAGACTTCTGATCATACCTTTAATATTGCCTGCTTCTTTATTTCAGTGTCTTGTGATTCCAGTGCAGAAATTTCACCATCGCGACCATCAACTTCGACGTGCGATTTCGCCTTTACATCAGTCATGAATTTTAACTCGGAATCGGATCCTGCTCAAGCCGCTGACAAGAAACCTCTATCAGCACTGTCTGTTTCAGAATCACAGAAGCTCAACACCGATCTGTTAGAGAGCATTGCCAAGTGTATGCAGGTTCAGAACTCCCTCTACAGACTCGTGCTGCTTAAGTTACATTCTCGAGTCAAAGATGCTGGTGAAACGTGTAGTCGTGAGTTTGACAGCAAGGAGGTAGAACTACATGAAGCGTCAAGTGCTGCAATCTCTGGAATGAATGTGAAAGATTCTCCTGACCCTGCGATCGTAAAGAGTCCGGATGCTGAAGAAGGCCTAGACTTGAGTTTCAATGATCCCACGAAAAAACCTAACATTAAGAGTCTGGATGGTAATGATAAAAATGTCGGCAAGAGGGGTGCAGATGTGATGATAACGGCTTCCAATAATGGAAATCTAAAAGACATTTCTGGAATTTCGCCCAAGGCACCCAAATTAGAGAGTCTGGAAGGCCCTCTTTCTTCTTTTAACAGAGAAGGAAAAAAAGGACTTTCTGACACTTCTGGTTTCTCCAGCCTGGATGGCACAGGAGCGACTCTGAATGATACTCCCGAGGCCCTTCTGGGGAACCAAAAAGGAGGTCCGAAGGATGCTTCTAAAACTCTACTGAACGAGCTTGCACAGCCCTTGCAGGCCTTAATTCGCTGTACACAGATTCAGAGAAGTCTCTTTCACAAATTGATCCAAGTGAACGCTATCACCAGTAACGATGGAACTGCTTTATCATCAGGTATATGCCGTAGCATGATTGTTTTTGAAATTAAAGAAAGTTGATTTCTCTTACAATTGTAGATGAATCTAGCAAATGGTCGCGAATTCTTCAGATCAGTTCTACTAGCGAGGACGAGAAAAGGAGAGGCCATAGGTTCGAATCCCGTTGAAATTTTTTTCGGGTTAATTTGCAACTGCTTAAGATTCAGTTACTACAGCTACGATCATATCTTCATTCAAATTTATTAATCTTGTCGTCCTTACTATGCTACAAAATATCTTCCTGTTAGTTTAGCTTTCCGTCTAGCCTAATCCCTGAGCAATATGTAAAATGTCCCACTTATTGAACGTGTATTGAATATTGGCCTAATGTGTTTTTTTTCTGGTCGATTTTCGGAAATTTTAAGCGATATCTGGAAATGATCTTATAGAACAAAATAATGGACTAAGAAACCGCTTAAATAACTGAAAATCAATCATAACTGAATCCATACAGGTGGCAAAGAACCAGAAATTTTTAGTTACAATGGGTAATCATTACCTTTTCAATGCAACTCCTTTTTTGTCCGAGTACGGCTTCAACTACGACACTGACTCCGACTTCGCGGCTAGTGAAAACCACTAACCGGCCGGCACGCCGTGCGGAGTTTGGGATACCTGTTCTATGTTGCAGGTCGTCAACTCACATAACCAAGAAGAAAAAAATCCAATTAAATGAACACTTCCGATCAATTTCTATGAGGTATTTTATATTGCGTTGTTGCAGAAAGAATATTCGTTACTTATTTATCAATTTTTTCCTCGTTCAAGCTAAACCATGGGGTGCTTTCCATTTAGGCAAAATTTCTGGTTCGATCGGTTTAAATGGAAATGGCACCCTCTGTTCGACCGGAAATTTTCCGAATCAAACGGACGATCTTCCGAGGTATTCCACTTCTTTCGCTCCAGCCAGTTGGAACAGAAATTTCCGTTCCATTATAATTAAGGAGTTTAAGCAAGAACGACGGCGACGGCTACGGAAACGTCACTTTAAAAGTGAATTTGCGCTTCCTCAAACTATCGCGCTTATTCCATCTCGCTTAATTCGTCAAATGTTGGCAAATTTTTGGGAGTTGAATTCTAAAGGACTGCATCAAAGTTCAGAAAAATAAAAAGAAAGTTGTTGTCTTGTGTTAAATTTCTCGACAAAACGTGAAATTACGCACTTTCACGTTGTAGTCGTGCAATAATGACAATTGTTCAAAAAAACGTAATGCACGTGCAGAGTTTTTGTTTTGCTTATCTAAGGGCCTGTTTACATGGAGGTGGGGGACCCCAGGTAGGTGAGGTAACTCGCCTAGGTTGGGTAGCCCGCCTGTCCATATAATATGTCATTTTAATTTGATCACGTTTACATGATAGGTGGGGTGACCCGCCAAGGCGGGTAGCCCGGTCTACCAGACCGGGTTACCCTCTCAGCCGGGGTCAAATTTTGCCATGTAAACGTTTCAAGGTGGGGTAACCTGCCGGACCGGGGTCGGATTCGTGATACATCACTGAAATTCGCGCAAAATTCACTTTGGCGGTGGCTTTCATTATTATTAAAGTTAACAATAGAAAGCCACAGCACTGAAGGTTGCAGCAAGAGCAACAAGTGAGTGAAGAAGTGCATTAATCGCCAAAACACGTGGTTTGCCATCATTTTTCTTGTTTACGTGCTTAGCGACCATTCAATAATCTTGAGAAAGTGCACCCCGGGATGGCGGGGTTGTAATATTGCATGTAAAGGAGGGTTATTTTTTTACCTCACCTAAGCAGGTTACCTCACCTACCTGGGATCCCCCACCTCCATGTAAACAGGCCCTAAAACTATTGATTTTTGCCGTCTCCGTTGCTTAAGCTCCCTATTCTGTTTCGGCCGGCGGCTGGTGCCTACATGGAATTTTTCCCGCCATTTCCAACGCTTGCTTAAGGGTTAGATACATTATGCTGGAAAAGTAGCATTATGCTCGACTGATTTTGGCTATATTTGATGCCCTTCTCCATGTCTGCAGGCATTTTTAAGGTCGTTGACAAAGTTCTCTGGTAGTGAATAAAAGCGAACTTGGTATAATCAGTCTTGTTGTGATCGCTAATTTGCTTAACCCCTTGTCCTCAAGAAACGAAAGGGCCTGTTTACAGATTACTTTACTCCAATAACAATTGTAGAAAATGATGTTTGAATTAATTAATCTGGCTTTTCTTTACATCTTTTTTCAAGATTTGTATAGTGAGGAACTTGTTAACATGGTCTCAGTTCAGTCCAAGCTTGAAGACATTGCATTTAAAAAGAAAATGGAATGCAGCTATGCTCGAAATCCCTATACCAATCACCAGCTACGACAGGCGACTAGCGAAGACGTTGTACAACATATATCTAGAAATGAGAATTCATTCAACATGGTTACAAATGGTGGTGATGCGGATAATGTACGTGAACTCCCTCATGGACGCGGAAAACTGAAAACTGTAACGGGTGAAGTGGTGTACAATGGAGAATGGTGCAAAGGTAAAGTCTTACGGCCCCAGTTGAAATTAAGTTACCACCTTTGGGCACACACGTGCTCAAAGGGATTAATTGCCCAACAGAACCTCTACCAGTATCAGATTGTCGTTAATCATATTTCACTTTTCGTTAGATGTGTGTTTGTGACGGATGTTACTGGATTGCTTTTGGGTTGCCTTTTGCTCTTCTTTAGTCTTTTCCCTTATTATGTTTAAACCAAGTAAAACTAGTAAATGTTCCGGTTGTATCAGCACACGATTTTAGCCCTCCGGCAAAACAATGCCCTGGCCCGGACTTGGTCGAGGACGACTCAGACTCAGACCGCTGCGGCTGAACTGCCGGAAAATACGGATTCTAATACCGTTCTTATCAAGTCCTTGGTGGTCTCCGTTCAAAAATTGACGATGGACGTGCAGTCGCTTCGACAAGAAACTCAAGAATTGCGTAAGTTAGCGTCTATTCCGCCTGCAAGCGATCCGCCCCACTTCTTCTTCTTCTTCGCTTGCCAAGAACGCAGCCACAGATGTTACCCTGCCTGAGCTGAGAGCCATGACCGCTCTGGTTTCTACGGTCGACCGTCGGGTAAATTAATTTGGTTTACTCTACTCCGAGGCTAGCGACACCGATGGCAAAAATGTTCATTTCCCAGCTGCCGGTTTTACGGTCAGCGCCCACCTCTGGACAACCTTAAGCTTAAAAATGTGTAAATGTGAATATCATATTATCCACTCCACTACACCGGGCACTATGTGCCCTATTCTTTACGAAGAGCGTGTGGGTTCTTTAACGTCCCACAGATTTTTTATTATATGTGTAAGAGCTTGTGAGACAGGGCCTACGGTTTGTAGTCCTTATCCGAGAAGACTAGAAAGTCAAACCGTTTGCAGATGTTATTACAAAGGCGGGCACTTTCTCCTCAGTTATTTAAAGACCCTGACTGTGGGTCCGGCCGGGTTTTGAACCTACGGCCTCCCGCTCAGCAGACCGGCGCTTATCCCATTGAGCTAACCGGTTCGGGTAAGTTGAGATCTGGTCGAGAAGCCAAACCTACCAGTTCAGTTTTGTACCCTCAGCTTTGGCCCCAGAGTTTCATTTGTCTCACCCGCACTCAACTTGAGGTTCATTATGAAGATCGTGCATGTACAATGGCCGAGCTTGTGGCCGGTTATGCCCAAATTTTACAGTCCAAAGATATCATTTCTCTGGAGGTGTCGAAGCGACAGAAGCATTTGGTCTCCTTAATCTGCTTAATGTACTTTGCGCAGCAGTTTACGTGGTCGGCATTTCTTGATAAATTCCACGACGCTGTTCTACTTGAAATTGAGCGGGCCCTTATTCAGTGGGGTGACTCTTTTATGCACTTGGAGAGGCGCACATTATATGGCCATCCTGTACCTGAAACATTGACTGCTGAGTCAAGTTCATTCAAGTCTTCTCCGTTACCCATTTTATTTTGTCGCGACTATCAACCAGACGCTATCCCTGTCTTTGACTTACGCAATCATCGGGGAGCATTTAATTTTCCGGCTGTCGTCGAAGCATATCTCACTAGTGATAATCAACTTGGTCGGGTTGCGGGTTCGTTGTTTCTCCGCCTCATTCAGTACAGAAACGCGATTCCAGCCAGCGGCGTGTTATTGTCGATTTAAGTTGGCCTTGTGGCCATTCCGTTAATGATGTTATCCCAAGTGACTCATTTCTTGGCTATCAGGTCGATTTGACTTACCCGACTATTGACGATATTGTAGAAGCAATTTTTTCTCTTGGTCGTGGTTGTTTGCTGTATAAGCGAGACCTTCGTATAGCCTATTATCGTCAGTAACACATTTTTGGTTTCTTCGTCATAAAATGAATAGTCCTTCAGGAAACTGTTAATTTGTTTCCTTTGAATTTCGATCTTTCATAAGATTCGTGAGAAACTAATTTATTTCTATTTCCTTGCTTTCTTTTCTGTCAATTAAGGCAAGAGACATGGAAAAGGTGAATGCTTAATTCTTAGCTTGCATGGCATTAACAATGCGGTTCTTGAGCATGGATTTTACACTGGCGGATGGAAAAATAACATGAGGTAATTAGCTAGCCGTTTTCTAGTGACTGTTATTAAATTTAAGAGAAATCTCTCTGTGTATCTATGAAGTAAAATTTTCTATGAATAGGAGCCGTTCTGTACTCCTGTATTCTTTCCGTCTGTGTCACAAGGAAGCAACAATTCTAGGAGTGCTGCGCTACTCAAAGAAGTAATTTGAGGTAGTCATCGTCATAAACTTTGTAGGTAAAAACATAGTGGTCGATCTGTTCATCGCGATGGATAATTTGAAAAGTTGAATATAGTAGTATAGGGCGCACCGATTACCTATTTCTTGTGCATTCCGACAAGCTTTTGTAAACTAGCCTGTGAATGAACATTGACATGACTATGACATTAACAATAATAAGCACTTCTTCAAGATCACCAGACGTTCTATTTTAGTATAAGCGGATTGACAAGTTTTAAGTTATTTTAATGGGGAATAGTCATAGTTTTCGAGAAAGATCACTAAACCGTAACGTTACTTCGGTTGATCGTCCTAGTACTGGTTCAATGAGTGTTCAGAGGGCAATCTGTGCATATTATTGACGCCTAGGGCAAACTGGCCCTTGAATAAAAGTGATAATGCATCTAAGGCTAGTACAACAACAGGTTGCCCAGCCTCACTGATTGCACTACAGTACGTATCCTGCAAAATTGCAGTGTTTACATGGGGATTTAAAAGTTACGCTCCTAAAATTTGTAGGAAAAACCAAGTAAACGTCAATGAAACTTACTCCGTAGAGTGCCCACAGTAGTCTCCAGTCCCCACAAAAAAAGCTTCCTATGTTCGTCTCGGAAAAAAAGATTGCGATATGATGTTCTTCTTACTAGGCATGGCAGTGGGAAAATGATGTTTTCCTCCGGTGCTGTTTATGAAGGTCAGTGGCAGTTTGACAGAATGACAGGATATGGTACCTTGAAGCTCCCAGATGGAACCATCCAGCAGGGGACTCGGAAAGACGGCTCCTTACAGGGCTGCGCTGTTTTCACCTGGCCACATGGTACCACAGAGTATCGCGAATTTGATGGCAGTGGTAAAGGCAGGTTTTTTAATTTGTTTTTTCAAAACGAACTATCTTCTAATGCGTAATGAAGTAGTTTTAGCAGGAGTAGTGGTGGTTGTCTTAGCAGCAAAAACTGTGTTTAAGCCTTGCAATTGGTTGCCGGAAGATAGTGCTCATCATTGATTAAAAGGATTTGAAGAAATAAAACCATGTTGTTAATATAACTAAGAATAAAGTACAGAAAGCAATAGCGCAGAGCTGTAAACACCAGAGGTTGTGGCTCAGCAAGTTATATAATGAACGTCTTAATTTTATAACCTAACTAAGATTGCTTTTACAATCAATTATAGCTCCAGCGTCTTGTCGCACAATTGAAAAAGAAGTTGCTGATAATCTGTTACAAAAGAATGTCGTTCGCCGGCAGCTGCTTGATTTGCGAGAATGTGTTACTGAGTTAAGAGATGAGAAACTCCGTCTTACAGAGGAGCTTAACGCCCAGAAAGTGATATACGACGAGTTGGTCAACAAAGTTTACACATCTGTGTTCGAGATTCGTGAAAGCTTTAGGGAACAGCAGAAACGGAATGATCAGAAACTGATAGAAGAGCTGAACAAAGCTTCGGATGAAGTCAAAACCACACAAAGGGAACTGGAGGAAGCCAAGGGGGGGCTACTATGCCAGATATGTTTTGAGCGACGGCGAGACTGCATTATTTTGCCTTGTGCTCATCTTCTATACTGCAGGCAGTGTGTGTCTGAACATAAAAGAAGGGGTGATTCACGCGGCTGTCCCGCCTGCCGAGGGCCTATTAACTGTGAGCTTCAGTGTAACATTAATCATCCGTCGTAAGAGCTTGAAGGTAGTGCACAAGGAATGAGAAAGGACAAATGGTAGAAAGATAGTACGATGATCAAAGAGTAACTTCTAAATCTGTCATATTTATACAAAAAAAAGTATCTTTCTTAGATTTCCAAGATTTGCTGAGATTTGGTTCGACTAAAGAAACAACAAAGATACGAAGTGATAGTAAAGAAAGCGAAACGAAATAAAAATACTTCCCCAAGGTTCAATACTAGGGCCTTTGTTTTTTCTGCTCTACATCAACGATATAATCAACACGTCGACAATATTACAACTGATATTATTTGCCGATGATACAAACGTATTTGTGTCTCACAAGGATAAAGACTGCCTTACTAATATACTGAACGCTGAGCTAAATAAGTTGTCAATATGGTTTAGAGCTAACAGGCTTTCATTAAACTTGAAAAAAACCAAATTCATTGCATTTAAACCATCCCAAAAGCGTACAAATCAAACTATTCAACTTTTAATTAATAGTCAAAAAATTGATCAAGTAAAAGAAACAGTTTTCTTGGGAGTAATCATAGATGAAAATTTAAATTGGAAATCTGAAATCTCACATGTCGCCAATAAAGTTTCTAAATGCACAGGAATTATTCGTAAATCCAGTTTCTATTTATCGACGAAAACCTTACGAACACTATATTTTTCTCTAGTCTATCCATACCTTTTTTACTGCAACTTAGTTTGGGCCTCTACTTACAGCACTAACCTTATTCGTCTTGAGATTTTACAGAAACGAGTGATCAGAACTATAGCTAAAACCACTTTAGATGCACTTACTGATCCAATCTTTCAAAATTTTCAATCTTGGTATCTTAAAATTTCATGATATACACTTAATACAACTAGGCTTATTCATGTACTCCTATCAAAACCATACTCTACCTTTAAAATTTCATTGTAAATTTACCTTACAAAGTCAAATTTATTCGTATAATACAAGAAACTCGTAAATTTTGTCTGTCTTTCTGTCGTACTCGAACTAAACAATTTTCCGTTTTTTATCAAGGACCTAAATTTTACAACACCTTAAACACCAACATCATCAAAGCGCTCTCACCTTTCTCCTTTAAAAGAGCACTTAAGGCATTTATTTGTAATAATTATTAGTATACTCCAACAAAAATCTTGCGAAAAAGCCTTTTAATATTCAACATTTGTAAACTTCCGTAATATTGATTAGTTTAATTTTTCACCTGATATTATATTGTATCCGTCGCCGTCAGGGTCGTAATTTTTATGCCATCTTCGAAAAATTGTAATTGAGGAGGCCTAATTAACATAAGCTCTATAGTTTCTTTTAGGCCTCCACGACTTCTCTTCCTACATTTTTTTTGGCATCTTTTTGTAATTATTGTAATCGTGTGGCAAATAAATAAAATACCTAAATACCTAAATACCTAAAACGAAAATAAATACTTACAAGATTTGCAGTACGCGGGAAAACGTGAAGGAAACGATAATTCGAAGATTACAAACGATAATTCTGAGAACTCTGTTCATTTTCAGACTGCGAGCACATGCTCCCGCCCATAATACTAACGCAGATGGTGTACGCGAATTAGGTCTCAGTGCCCGCGTAAGTACAAAAAATTTAAACAAAACTTAACCTCAGGAAATTTTGTACCCTACAGGGTTGGTACGTCTGCGCTGCGTGACTGCTCTGGGCTAGTAGACTTTAGCAACAGTTGCCCCAAAGGGCTAGTGATTGGATTCTATAAAAGAATTTCGTGATGGGCGCCGGTTGGGAAGTTTGTTTTAGTTTTAGTTTTGAAATTAGTTCCCCTATGTCTTCTTTGCATTTATTCACAAAATGCGGTTCGTACGGACGGATAGAAATTTAAGTAAATAGGTGTCATGAACGTTATATACATTCATGCTTCTGATATAACGCAATAAACGTAACTATTTATCTGGTTTTGTTTTGTTTTTGTTTTTTTCATTGAAATTATTAAGGACGGTTTATCATTTTTTGTCTACGGCAGTTGGTACGAGAACGATATCCCGTATCCACTCTAGAACTATTTGAAAAATCGTTCACGTTTGGACGAAAGCCGTAGGTACATTGACGTTTTAGACTTTCAAACTTAAACGGGTTCACCAGGAAGCGCGCGCGCTGACATGTTGCGCGTGCACTTTATTTCACCAATCAGCGAAGAGCATTGACCCTAACTAGCAACATTATGACATCAGTTTTTCTAACCGTTCTTCGTATGTTAAGCGCGGTTGTGGTTCTAACGGAATCGGCAAGGCATAGAGTTTTGACTATGCCACAGCCGCAGGTAATTCTCTTTTCAGCCATCTGTTTGTTTTTTATCAGCGCTGGATCCATGCCCATAGGCCGACTGACTGAGGTAAGAAAGAGACTTGAGGCGTCCATTCAAAGACATCTAAATAATACTGAGCAAATGATATGACGCCATGCTTTGCTTTTTAAAACAGACAAGTGTGATACGGAACATTGGCAAACGGGAAGTTCGTGATTCGGGTGAGTTCGTTAAATGAAAAAAAGATAACTTCTTTTGTTTCTGTTGCCGATTTTCCTTTTCTGCACTGGTCTTTTAAGAAGGACCAAGAGCTGAAAATTTTGAAACCTAGGGTTGAAAATGCATTTGAGATTCTTTATATTATTGTTTTTTTTTGGTGGGGGAATTGCACTTTTTTGTTAATAAAAACCATGCAAGAATACTTTTTTTAAAAATATTTACAAAGCACTTAAGGGCGAATGCACAGAAAAATCGAGCAAACCGTGGCCACAGCTCAAAACCTAACCTACCCTCATTTTAAGTCTGTAATAAGGTTTTAATGAATTTATAACACTGCTGAGGTTTAAATTTCAAAATGCGGCCGAGTTTGGGAATTATTTGAGATTTTCGATTTCAACGGTCTGCGGGCCTAAAATTAGCCGCAGAACACGGCAATATAGCCTAGCGACAGAAATGAGCTGACTTTCATAAACGAGCGAATATATTGGCAATCTTCCACTTAAATCTCAAAAAACAGATGTTAACAATTTCTAAACAGCACATTTTTTTAGATTTAGAGAATAAAATATCGACGAACGAGCACAATTTTGAAACGTAATTTGCATAACGCTTATAAATACAACAATTTACCGCTAAAACCAAAATCGAATTTTCTATATGGGGGAATTCTCCAAATCACCCCAAATCCCGCTTACTACCCAATGAGACATAGTACTTCAACATTATCTGAAAGTTAGTCTGGTGTTCTTGCGAACGCTTGTAAAATAGATTGATTATTTTGAGGTTATTTTGCCCCAAACAACTGCTAATTGACCCCAGGGTCAGTTGACACGTGCACGTCACCTTAGTTTTATGCATCGATTTGAGCTCGTTAAAAGGGAGAAACTAACAAGATTCTTTTAATATGTACCTGTTTTAATGAAATACACGCAATCTTCAAAAGGAGAGGCCGTTCAATGGGTAATTTCTGTTCTTGAGATCTTGTAGATTGTACCGTGGCGTCTGCGAGTGGACCTGAGTCTAGGTCTGTTTTCCCGTGACTGCGAAATCAGAATAACATCATGAAATAATTCTCTCTCGAACCTTCGTAAATGAATCAGCCTGACATGAAAAGTGGACCGAATAGGAAAACATTCTAGCGCAATTTGGATCCTTTGCAGCACGTAGTGTATTTGCTAAGCGGCGATGGTATCAATGACTTTTAATTAGTTACTCACCTCCGATTGCGTGACCAGGCAATTATCGATTGTCTCCTGCGAAAAATAAGTGCACGGGAAACCAAAGCTTTCGGGATACAGTAAATTCATTTTCCTGTATGACCAGGTGTCCTTTTGTCCTATTTTAAAAGCGGTTAACTAAGATGATTAGCAAACATACTGTCCCACTTTTAAAAATGGTACAGTAACTGAATGTTCTGTTCTTCTGATTTTACCCCCAACCCCGGAGTGTTCTACGCATGAAAGGCAAATGGATTAAATTTTAAGGTTCAAGGCGGTTTTAAGGAATGGGTTACCAGTGGATAAGTCAGACTTGTCATAAGGTGCATTGAACAGAAAATTACAGGCATCATATCTCTGCTACTGTATGTCCATTAAGTGATTTTCCAGCAAACATTATTTTTTGACTTTTTTACCCCAAAAGTATTTTCCGTTCAATTCTTATCTATGAGATCTAAACTTAGTTAAATTTCTGTAATTTGTTGTTAAATGCAATTCTGCAAACAACTAAGTATTTAATTTTGCGTAAAAGCTACATGAAATTGTACTGTTTAGCCGTAAATCATTAAAAAGAGAGAGCATCATGCTTTCTCCTTTCAAGTCTAATAGGACTTAAGCAATGGCATTGCTTAAGTCCTAGTAGTTGTTCTCCATGTCTGCTAAGTGCTAAGGAGGAAATTGTTTGCTCTTTTTAAGAAATTGTTCTTGCCCATTGCGGTTTCAAACCAAGGATAGCAGCAAGTCTGTAATGGTCATATACTGCTACTTCAGTGCAAACGAAGCATAGGCGCACAAGTCAGCGCTTGCCTTTAGTCAGGTACCGAAAATGAAGTGGAAACTTAACCCCAAGGGCGTCCATGTTCGCTCCGGCTCGAAAAGGTAGAATCAGTTGTGCAATAAAAAGTATGCGAAAAACCTGCGGGGGCTGGGGAAAGAAAGGCGTCTTATTTTTCTTTGGCTTGTTCTATTTTCGCGACGTGGTACAGGCTACGAAATACTGACAAGCTCAGTATATGTCTTCACCACCGAGAGTCACTTGCCCTTAGCCGGACACGCCCCTCGCGTATCATGTTTCGTTCCTAAAGTTATTTCAAAGCTTAGAACCAAACCTAATCAGCGGCCGAAGGCAGAAACGGGGATGGGCAAACGGATGTCACAGCATATTTTGCAAGAAACTGGTATCCTTGTGCCTATCGGCTCAGGAACGATTGATTACTACTAGAATTAATATCAGGGTCAGAATTTGAGTGCTACAATGGGAGGGAAGGAAGAAAAGGAAACCGCCGCGCACACCTGTTAAGTCTTTTATAAGCTTTCTCGTCCTGACGGTTTCAAGGAAG